TTAAGTTTATATCGGAAGATATGTGCAAAAACACCGGAGAGGGAGGAACAACATAGTTTTCAGTCACTCAATAGAATGACTGAATGAAATTGGAAGGGAGTGTACCATGCAAACTTAGCAAGCCTCATGATGCCTCGGAAAGCTCATTTCTTAAAGGTAAATTTCGTGCTCCCTAAGACGCTATGCCAAAAGGCAGTTTTCCCTTTCCAAAAAAAAAATTAAAAAAGAGAAAAAGAAAGAAAGGAAATGAAACAAAAAAAACCTAGAGAGTCTTAGATAGCCTAGAGCCAAGGCTACAAGTATTTATCAATGGATTTATGATTTCACCACCTGGACAAAAATCAAAGTCTGAGGGAGTTATAAGGAGAGCCTGAAATAAAAGAGATCAGAAATCTTGAAGCAAGAAGAATGTGACTGGAAACTGTTGATACCAAAAGCTCCATTCTTTCTTGCTGTTTTGCATAATATCATGTCTCTCCAGAAAAAGGTAACCCTAAACACATCAAACCTCACCATTGAAAAGCCCCTGAATACCTAGTCTTGAATGCCTTGTTTAATATCTTTTTGAAAAGAATCACTGAAACCTTTCATGAATGTTAAGAGCTAGTTGACTGGAAGTTAGTTCTAAGTGTGTGGGATTTTGCATGACGAATTAACGGATTAGTTATGTTTGTACTTTGGTGAGAATTTTCTAGACTTGATCTGATTGATGCATTGTCCCTAATTAAGGTCTAGAAGTATGGTTGCTGATATTTTTGAGTTCCCTGTGATGTGATTTCTGTTGATGATATTTTTCCAGATTAGATCTTGTTTTGTTTGAGAACAATCAAAGTCTAAGTCTAGGGGAGTTGATAACACCGTATTTATACTCATTTTCACCATTGATTTCAAATGCTTTTACAAAAGTTTAAATCACTTTTATAAACTTTTATTATGATTTCTGTATGTTTGTAGTTTCATGGCTCTTTTCAGGAAACTTAGGAAAAAAATGACAAAATTAAAGAAATCCACAATTTTAGCTCAGAGTCAGACCGTCAGAAGTTCAGCCTCAAATGAAAATTTTCTCACCGTCTGATCCAGCTCAAATTTAGAGAAATTCAAGAGGAGACAACAAGATTTCCATAGCACTTCACATCAGGACAATCCAACGGTGCAATCAAAAGTTATGCGAAAAGCAAGTTGACCAAATTCATTAGTCCCAGAGACTCTCACCTGTGGCAAACAAGTGTTTTACCTGCCCCGGAAGATTCTCACCCCCGGTGGACCTATGCCGACCCACAAGGCCCAACATCAAGGCCCATTTCGTGATTCCTCTTCAGAGAAGCCCTAATTATGATCTGGAAGACTTTAGAACCTATAAATACATTTCTTAGCAGTCCTAATCGGGTGTGTGCTCTTGTAATGAGTTTCTGAGCCACCAAACTATGTTTTCTTAGGGTTAGGCGATGGAGAAGGGGATTCTTCCCTGGATCCATTGTTCTTTCTTCTGTTTATCTAATTAGATTTTCTATTTCATTCTTCTGCATATTTCATGTCTTTTATCATTTCTTGCATCATGTTAGATTAGTCCCAGAGAATAAAGTTTCTAAAGAGTCATCGATAGGTATACATGTTCAATTAGGATTTCTAAGTTTCTAAACCATATTCTGGATCTCATCTCTTATATGTTGTTCATACTGCATGGGAGTAGATTCATGACCTATTCTCTAAGTCTAGGATCGATCAGAGCCACGAGAGTGTTGTATCAGATCATCCATACCTAGCTTCAGAAGAACATAGTCGCTAGAGAAGTCGAAAGCTACCTGTAGAGAAGATATGAGCAAACAAATTCAATAATAAATGCATGATCTTATTCTTGGCATGAGGGCGATAGTTAATTGTCAGATTTAAGTGATTAGTTGGTTAAGATGACGAGAGTTGGTTAATCATACACACGCCTATTTCCAGTTCCAAGCAGATCCCAGAAAATAGATAAGGATAAATCGTCTGGAAGCTAATTGGAAATGCTTAGACATCGATTAGAGTAAACGGAGAAGTCTAAATCGTCCACTATGAGTCTAGAGTCCTTAGTTTGAGTCGAACACTTTTCAATTATCCTTTAGCAACTCATTTTCATTGCATTTAGTTTCCCGTGAATATTATATAAGGATTAGTTCAGGATCCCGTATCCAAAAACTCCCAAATCCTCATGAGTTTATGACTTCGCTTACTATCTCAGTTTGGTGTTTCCTTGCAGATTATGCATCTTCCCTGTGGATCGACACCCAGAAAATAGATAAGGATAAATCGTCTGGAAGCTAATTGGAAATGCTTAGACATCAATTAGAGTAAACCGAAGAAGTCTAAATCGTCCACTATGAGTCTAGAGTCCTTAGTTTGAGTCGAACACTTTTCAATTATCCTTTAGCAACTCATTTGCATTGCATTTAGTTTCCAGTGAATATTATATTAGGATTAGTTCAGGATCCCATATCCATAAACCCCAAATCCCCATGAGTTTATGACTTCACTTACTATCTCAGTTTGGTGTTTCCTTGCAGATTATGCATCTTTCCCGTGGATCGACACCCTAAATCCTAAAACGTACATCTGTTCACTTTCAGACATTAGGGTTTTATAAATTTAAAACTCCGGACCAACGGACTTGCAAAAGTTCTGCAACCCTGAGGCCCATCACAGTTCTGAAAACTTCTTTTATTAAGAATCTCTCAAGACTTATTTGATCAGTATTACACGCAGTCAACCCTGACCGATTCTTTACTACCCGAAGCTCACACACTCTGAAGTTCTGATTTTTGAACTTTCACAAAAACTTTCAGTCACCAGAAAACCCCGGCGACTGCCGCTAGACAACTCAGGTTTTTTCTTTTCTAAAAGTCTAACCTAATTCCCACTCTTCTCATCCTTTTTATACTCTCGTATAATTTTTAAGGATCTCTTTCTTTAGCCAGATATGCTCAAATCTCCTTTTCCGATCCTTTCCTTTTGGTTCACGTCAAGTTCTTGTTAATCTGCACCGATTACGCCACGTCACAGCATTACTTCCCCTGCTTTATAACATACCCTTATAAATCTTGTGCTTACATATTAGACTAGAGGCGAGTAGTTTGATAGGTTTGAATATCTATGGGTACTCTTGCGTATTATAAGTTCTCTTTTACCTTTTCTGATACCTGTTTAAGAAGTATCATGTTGTCATTGCTCACCTTCTCGGATATTATTATTTACCTTTTCGAGCATGACTGATCCGGTTTATGTGGTGTTTTTCGGAGAGTAGAATTGTTCCTGTTGAATCATTCATCTCCTTATTATTGCACTATCCAGATGATATTTTTACATGAGTTGTTGGGTTCAGAAAATTGTGACTCTTATCTGGTTTCATACCACTTATCTTCTTACTTACACACTCTCTCCTATAGTTCGACCACCCAGCCTCGTAACCACACCCCCTTTTAGTAGTGTTTTTTTTAAGTCTAGTGGTTGTGTTATCACACAATTCAACTTTCCTCTTGGAAATTCTCTATCACCATCATGCTCTATTTGGAATCAATTATAGTTTGATTCGGTTCGTGTTCAAACTGTTTTTTGAGAATATTACCACCAAAGACACTTCTTTGTGTTTTTATGTCCACAATAGACACTTATATGTTTTGGGTCCATTATCTATATTTTACTCCTATTTTTGACATTCTTGTCATTCATTTAATTTTACCGCATCTCCTTTCTTAACCTTTTTCACAGTACACCAATATATTAAATCCCCTCCACTCCGACTTATCTTTGGTAGACAAATCCTTATAACCTTGCAGAGCGGCAAAAATTCTGACACATCCTTTCACTACGGCCTCAACCGGTGTATAATTTCATATCAAAAGTTCAACTTTCTCTCTCTCTCTCTCTCCCCCCCCCCCCCAACTCGCGAACAAAAGTGAACCCTGTCTTTAAATTCACCATAGGGAAGCCCTGTCTCAACCTGAAACTCTTTCAGAGAGAACCTAATTGGATATCCGCCAAACACCGTCCACAACTCGTACTTTCTCTTTGTTACCAACTGCCGAGTTAGTAATGCGTGAACAAGCTTGCAAGAAATATGTGCTCGAGCTACAGGGATGTCGTAAAGCTTCCCAAAATACGAGTTCCTAATTAAGTGTACCTCATAAAGCTTCATGGACGAGTTTTAGCGTATATGTAGGTCTAGAATAGATGTTTAAACGGCGGCAGGGATACCGGTTAGTTGCGAACCATCGCATGGTAAACTTAGGTTGGATCAGACTTCTGCAACAGAAATCAATTAATAATCAGAAGTTACCCTGGAATGAGTTAATAAACACTTAAAAACAGCTATATGAAATAGATCGTAAAAGCTTAGCTTCCATCTCACTCTTTCAATTTCGGTAGCGGCAGACTAGGTAAAATCAACCAAATTTATCTGCCCGAAATATTGGTCACCAGAAAATAGTATATAAAGTAAACAAGTCTCTGGTAATCTTTTTATTGAGAATATCTCAATAATAATTAATATAATAGTCATTAACGAAACCTACATCTAATAATGAATAGAAGGCAAAGAGAAATTTTCAAATGGTAAACAGTAAAAAAAGTTTGTCAAATAGGAAAAGTATCTTTGAAGGATATTAATAACTCATAAATACCTCAAACGATAACACACTCTTGTCTTTTAGAGTTTTAGTTTTTTTAGCTACTAAAAATAAATTTCACTCAACATCAAATACAATTTTTTGTTGACAAAAAATTGTAATAAAAAAACAATAATTAATTAATTTAATTAAAAAACTAAGATTTTTTTTTTAATGAATTTTCGATTAATTCAGTTCAATTATACATGTACCTATTCCATTCAGTTCAAGATCAAGTAGTGCGGAATTATAATTACCATTCCATTTAGGTTACTCTACAATTCGGTTCACGATCAAACTAGAGAGCTTTTTGTTCAGCCCGATTTGAGAATTTTAAGAGGTAGATACAAAACCTATTTGAAGTGATCTCGTAAATATACCAATAGCTGAATTAATGGTGTCTGGTTCGAGAAGTTATGATCAGTTTAAAAGTCTCTTACTTAGGTCTGATTCTGCACAATCTAGTAGTTCTCACAAATTCATTGGCCACTAACAAGAACAGGCCAAGAATGTTTGTTTGATAATTTCGACCAAAAACGTAGTAGAAACAGAGCAACATATTATAGATCAGGACCATCACCACCGAGATCTTCATCTTGATCTCTGATCTTAACGTCAGCGTCTTCCCCAAACTGGATACAGACATCGATTTGCGACAGAACATATTGAATGCTGCTTATAAACAAAAAATGTTGACATTAGTTTTTGTATTGTATAAAGCTAGAAGAAAGAATTCACAGGAAATTAGTTTTACCTTCGTTCTTTCCTTATGTCAAAGGGTATGAAATTCACCATCCCATACTCTCCCACCTAACCACAATCCCAAGAAATGCAATCATGAAAATCAAATTACTCCACATTTGCGGTTTATCAGATTACCATTACTATCATATACCATACCATCTCCATCAAGGCTTTGTTCAATTTTGCAAATCGTGGAGACATCCTTTTGTTTAACTCTGCCAGCAATGTGCGAGGCTCCGGATCCAAGTAGCTAAGAGTCAAGATAAACAAAAAAAGCAAATTTACTTATCTCGAAGCTGCAAAAATGGAAAAAGAAAAAAAAATGGGAAGAATAATCCATACTTATCAATGTTGCTTTTATCCTGCAAGAGATCCATCTTTGAGAGGATATTGACATGTGGTAATTCAAGCTGGACCATTGCAGAGAGAGAAGACATGCAGCCGCTGATAAACTTCGTTACATCTGTTATGAACTGATCCAACAAAATTTATCTTTTGTCAACGCAACACAGTTCACTATAAAAGAATAATAAGTAGTGGAGGGGAAACCGAACTTATTATTCACCTGTGAATCAAGCAGATAAACAACACAGACGTTGAAGTTCTTCTGTTGCAAATGCTGCACAAAGTTCTTGAGCACAGGAACATGTGTAAACAGCTCTATCTGGCCTATTAACAGAATACATTTTCAAAAAACTTAGCGATTAAACTTGGGATGCTTCAAATTAGCCAACACCAAATGGGTTATAGAAACTTAACACTTTATCAAAGAATAAACATATTAACATAAATTAAACATATACTCATCGATCATGTATGTACCTGGACAATCAAATATAAGGTAATCGTCGTCCCTGTAGTTCTCCAATTCTTCGTCCACCCAATCATGTAAGCTATCCTCAAGGTACCTATTATTAAGAGTTAAGGATATTCCTTTTCCACCCAAAAGATCCTTTGTGAGAGAATACACGAATCAAATCATATTGACAGGAATCGAAACTGTCTTTCTTATCTTTAAATTAGGATTAAAATTAAGAACCATGACTAGTTGTACATAGCTCCTAATTCTCTCTAATCCAAAATGTTCCATCACACATCCCAATTCTTTGTTTCAAACATAAAGCTAACAATATGGAGCATGTTTGTGCTGAGCTTCTAAAATGTTCGAGTATTTTTATGTAACAACAAAAGGATACTCCATGCAATACATAAGGCCACCATTAGGACCAAGCCCTAGCTTCTCCATTACATCTTCCAAAGAAACAAGTTCTCGGATATCTGCATTCACCCACAAAGCAGTAGATTCAATGAGACCAAGAAAGCAGAGAGGCAATCAAAAACCACAAGGATTGATAAAAAAGTAACTCACCCATAGCAACAGGATAGTTAAAGATCTCAGCAGCAGGGTCCAAGTTAACAACATGCATTGTTCGACCGATGGTTTCACAATGCTCATATAAAGTTGAGCAATAAGTTGACTGATACGAAAAAACCCCAAAACAATGGTTAGTCAAATCTCACTGACAATAGTTTACACTTAAAAAACCTTAATGTAGAATTTATATAACCTTTCCGCTTCCTGCTGGACCGATAACGAGCTGTGCGTAACCCATTGTAGCAACAAGTAAAGCCTCCACAAAACTCTAAATTGAACAAAGAGAGTGAAGGATTCTAAAACATGCAAAGATTGCGACTGTTATATAAGCAACGCACCAAACACCTAAACCAAACAACACACTCAAAATGTCGCAGGAACCCATAAACAAGAAGCAAGCAATAGACACATTTCAGCACCTGAAACAAGGAAAAAATACGGAATCGATCACAAATTCACAACACAAACATGATCTAGGTAGGGTTTAAGACAGCATAAACCTAAAAAAAAAAACGAAATTTCGAGAGAAATTGAAGAAATTAAAAGCAGCCGACAGAAATTCCTAAGGTGGAAATGAAACGAAACGAAACGAAACCCAGAAGAGACAAATAATTAGAGGTTCTGTAGCATAATATTGATTCGACGGTGACGAAAAACGGAATCGGGAAGATGATTCGACTTTTACCTTTGAATCTTCCTTCTTTGGTTTGGTTGCTCTGATTAGAAAACCAAAACCCACAAGCAAAAGAAAAGAAGGAACCAACAAGAAATAAGTCTCAGTTTTATTGCTTTTAAATACTTTTCTAGGGCTCTCTGAATGGTATATGATATCTATGATATGTATGAATTATGATATGAATGGTTCGGTTGCGTTTGGTTCGACCAAAATTGAATGCGTAGGAAATACAAATTGACCACACCATAGAAAGCATTATTTCCAGCTTCCACCACGTGTATCACGGGCTTATTAGATCAGTGATTTGGGATGATTTGGGATGATTTTTTCCTTTTAAATCTCTCTCAATCGGATTTAATAAATACTAGGATATTAGCCCAGATTAATAAATATTTTATAAAAATAATATGTAATTAAACCCATATTTAATATATTTAAAATAACTGAATTGGTTACTATTATAGAAAGTAGTTATACAGAACCCAACAAATTATATAATATTTTACTAGGTGATTGTCCGTGCTAAGCGCAAATTTTATATATTTAAAAAAATTTATAATAGTTTTATATTTGAATTTATGGATAATAATTAAATTATATAATATTTCTTGTTAAATTTTTAATATATATCATATTTTTTAGATGAACAATACTTATTTACAATAATAAAATAAATAAATAAAATTATACTATTAATATTAATCAAATATAGAAAAAATGGTATTTAGATAGTAAATGAAACAAATTTTAATAAATATTTCTTCAGAAAAAATGCTATGTGTCTAAGTCACTAAAATAAACTTCTTGAATCGGTGAACTTCGGAAAATTTTAGATCAATCAAAACTTTACTACATTTGAAGACTGTTGTAACAATCCAGATGTCATATTCTTGGATCACCTTTACAAACCTTAAAACACAGATGACAATAGGTTGTTTGCAGTTAAGTAGAGATCCTAAAAAAATTCCGAGTGATCACTATCTAGATGCACTTGTAAATGAAGACCGCTACAAATTAGCAAAATCAGAGAGTTTAATGTCAATGATAAATATGATAAAATATTCGCAGACATGATATATAAATTATTTAAGACAATAAAAAACAAACCTCGCATCTCCTAGATCGAAAAACACACTCCCACAACTACGACTTCGTTTTAAAGAAGAACAGCCAACAAATCTTCCAAAATCTATTACTTGACCAATTAGATCTAAAAAAAATAGTCATTGTTTATTTTTATATTTTATTCAGAAACATATAATTACAAATTGTACTAAAAAGGTTAATTTGATATAAAATACCTATAGAAATTGAAGTGTCGACTATTCCGGCCTTGATTTTATCAAACATTACAAAACTAAAAAATTACTCTTTACCTCGGGATGTAATTTTATGGAAAACTGTTGTATCTTTCCAACGGATTTTTAAAGGATGCGATGTGAACCTGAACTTTTCAGTCATGGGAATAAGATCAAAGTCAACTAAGAGAACCCAGTCACCTTCAGCAATACTTCCTGAGAAATAGGCAACGTAATTATCGGCTAACATCGCATGAACTTTATCACCCTATAGAAGACATAAAATAAGCAATGTATAAACCCTTAATGTTTCAAGATATATAATGTACAAATTTGAGTATATTGTTTGGAGAGATATATAAAAAAAAATAGATGTTATGGGTTGATATGTTACCTTCTCATCGGCCAATATCAAATCAAGAGTTTCGTTTGTCCTGTTCATATGGAAAAACCTACGTAAAAGTTTAAAACGCACAACCCACTTATGCTTAGCAGGATCAAGATCCGAAACGAAAACCACAAAGGGATTGTGTGATTTAGGAATGCTAACTGGAATATCAAATTCCATTGCTATGACTAAGAGTAATATAAAGAGAATGAATGTCGTAGATTGTATATCTTTATATACTTATATATACATATTGAACGAAAGAATATTTCTGCATATTAAAAAAGAAATTCTAAGATAATTCCTAAACAATATTGAATGATATACATTAAATATATTTGAAATTTCTCGATATATACTAAACCTTAATATATAGAAGTTCAACATAAATAGAGTCTCTTGATGGTGATGTTTTATTTATGATTGCATTGAATTTTTATAGCCTATCTATTATTGATTTTCCTTAATTATTATATTATAACTAAACATGACATATATGCAAATAAATTACTACCAAACATAAAAAGATGAATCGCTTTAATGGATTGTCGACAATGACCGTAATTTTTCAAAACATTACAAAAGCTAATATTGGTTGCCGTAGCGGTGGATTTCAATCAAAAGTAGTACCCATTTGTTACTTATAACCTAATTTCCTTTATTTCTATTCGTTGTCGAGAATAACCGCATCTCTTTTTGAAAAATATCTTCTTTCACAATGATTTCTGATTTAGGTATAGCATCTGATCAATGTTGTATCTTTGTTCAAATTATCAAGAGATTCAAGGAAAGTCTAGGTGTTCATGGTACCCAGCGATCGTTTATATTCGCAGACGAACATATAAGTATAACTTCAAAAAAGAACTTAATGTCTGAATTTTAATTTATTATCAATATCATCCTTACTTTTTAATTGAAAATCTAGGATGATCGAATACGTGCATCGATTCCGAATCGTTTAGTAGACCGATATGAAGGCATGATGTGTGATAAAGATTGGTACTTCATTGGTAACTTCAAAATCACTTCACACACGGGAACCTCGAGGATTACAGTCAATGGTCTCCATATCTGTATCGGTGAGGATACTCATGTTGAGAAGACATCGCCTAAATCAGAGGATCAGTTGTATTCATTTGCTAATTTTAGAAGAGTCCTTGACGAATCTCTGATGGAAAACATCGACGTTGGTATGTTTTCTTAGTATTAGATTATACTCAATAAGATTGATTAATACTCTACTTAACTATATGAATATGTTGCTCTATGCTAGTTGATTTGATCGGAAGTATTATCAAAGTTAGTCAATTGGAACGTCAAAACCATTTTTGGATTGGAACTCAGAGAATCAACTCAAGTGTTCTGAAATTTACAATTAGGGATTTCGAGTAAGTATCCATTGATACATAGACTAATACATATATAAACTTTTACTATCATATTCTCAATATTAAGGAAAATGATATCTTAATTCTGGTTTTTAGGGGTGACGACATCAATTGCATAGCGTGGGGAAGAGAAGCTGAACATTTTGAATTCCTATGGAAAAACACCTCTCGTCGCAAAATCATTTTCTGTGTATTGAAATTTTGGGAGATGTGTCGATATGGAGGTGATTTATCATTCTCGAGATCAACCATATATCAACGTATATCAATTGTAGCTAATATAATTTTCCATTTTGAACAGATGAAATACGTGTTTGTTCTGGTAGAGAATTCTCTGAAATATTTTTTGATCCTCCAATTCCTGAAGTCGAAAATTCTCATTTTATGTAACCATTGTCTACCGGTATCATTTTGTAAATTTCCTAAACGTAATGGTTGAATATTCGACTCATTATTTATCTTGTTCTTGCAAGTTAGACTACACAGATGATTTTAACAGCATTGAAGATGACTACTTTTTTGATCACTCACCTATTTTTCCTAGCCATTGAATCTATCAAATTCATTTTTTGTTTTCTTTTATTTTAGATATGTAAGGTGATAAACGTTTGACACTTTTGTTTGACCTTATTCCCATTATTCTGAAATTTAAAAACCTTTAATTAGATGAAAGAATTATTATAGGTAATAAAATTAAAAAATATTAAGATAAGACATTAATATTATGATTGATATTGAAAACACCAATAATTACTAATCAATATAGTAGATTAGGGCCATAAGAGATCAGCTGCATCCAAATAATTCATCTTGTTCCAAAATCCTAAATTGATCTTGTCCCAAATCCTGAAATATTGATTTTAAAAGTATATCAATCAAACCACTTACTTATTATCTTGAAATATTGTTATTCTTTTAATTCAAATATAAATACTATCACTAAAACTACTTACTTGGTTGTTAAAATTGATACTTGATTGATTTCTGGAGCAACGTCAAAACGGGATAAACCATATTCTTCATGATCTTGGATAATCACGTTCTCTAAAAACGTACATAATTTGATTCGTTTTAGCTTATAAAACATTAATTGTAAAACAAAAAAACTGTAGCATCAGAATACATATCCCCAATAATTATCCCCGTTAAAACACAAATAGCAAAAAGTCCTTCAGACTTCATACACTTTTCATTTAATTCAGATGCTAACGCACCATGCGCAATACACTCAAGCATTACATCCCTATGTTTTGACAAATAAATTCATTAAGAACTAATTAAATATAGAAAATATAGGTAAATTGACTTACTCATCATCTATGATATGAAAACGAATTGATGCTCTCGTCCTCCCATCTGGATACGTAATAGTAAAGTACCAAGCATCTTCGACTAATCCTATCAAATCTGAGTTTACAATTAAACCAAATTAAAATCATGTATTAAAACAATTAATTTTCTTTATAATTCAAAAGTAAAATTAAACTCACCAATCAAATAATAATTCTCACTTGGATATTCATAAATCGATAAGAAAGAGATAAAATTATGTCTGAATTGTTTGTTACCGGTAGAGCCGGTAAAAGGATAGTATCTTTCGTTAAAGTAATAACATAATCATGTTTCGTAATATTTACGACAGTTCTCAAATTATAAGGATTCAAAAGAAATCCAGATAACATGATCCATTGTTCTTCTATACAATTCTGATCGAAATAGTCCATCATTTGGTTATTTGCCCGAACATGTATTCTAGAACCCTACATCAATATACAAACAAATCAAAATATCGTAATCAGAATACTACTAATTTATATATATATATATATATATCATGAAACATAGTTAAAATACCTGTTCGTCGACAACGATAAAATTTAAATTTCTCTTACTACACGAATAATTCACCTCCCATTTTTTTCAATATTTTTACTATAAATTTTCAATCAGATCTCAGTGAGCTCAGTGTTCGAACAAAATCATAATTTGCCATCACTTAATGTTAATCTTTCTTGAAGATCGTGAACAAAGTACATATATATATATATAT